AGTGTTTAGATCGAGAGAAACAATCTTTCATCACACTCACGCTCACCGCTGTTGACGGAGGTAAACCTCCTAAATCTGGCTCGTTGCAAATACGCGTAAATGTGCTCGATGTCAACGACAACGTGCCCACGTTTAGCAAGTCGCTTTACAAAGTGCGTCTGAGCGAAGATGCCGCGCAGGGCTCACTTGTGATTAAATTGAATGCAACCGATTTGGACGAAGGAATAAACAGTAAGATTGTGTATTCCTTAATTAAACGAGGCAACAACGATCCGTCAAGTGTTTTTAATCTAAATGCAGAAACGGGGGAAATCACCTTAAAAGGTACATTAAATTATGAAGAGACTCCTGCTTACGAAGTAGGGATTCAAGCGACTGATCAAGGCCTTTCTCCCCGTAGTGCACATGCTAAACTGCTAATAGAGATAATTGATGTCAATGACAACGCCCCTGAAATAACGGTGACGTCACTGATGACGCCGGTAAAAGAAAATGCAGAATTTGGGACAATTGTTGCTTTGGTGACATTAAATGACAAGGATAGTGGGAATAACGGTGTAACCAATTGTAAGGTAGTTGGATCTGTTCCATTTCTGTGGGTGGCTCATGTTGATGATCAGATTGATTATCCATCCATCCATTCTGCATACTGCTTGTGTGGTTCAGAGCTGATAGGAGCTGGCGCCTGAGCTGGCGCCTATCCTGGCTTTCGTGGTAAATAGCCACGGATGAGGGAAGTCCACCTCTGTCAACTAGAAGGATCATTATTGTTCATGTTTCTGATGTGAATGATAATGCACCTCGTTTCATGGAACCTGTTATTAATGTCTATATCAAAGAAAATAGTCCAACTGGATATTCTCTTTGTTCTGTAAATGCAAATGATCCTGATTTGGACACAAATGCGAAAGTTTCATACACATTGTTAGATAACTATTCAAGGACTGTTTCAATTTCATCATTTTTTAGCATCAACTCAGAGAGTGGAGACATTGTCAGTTTGCAAAATTATTAATCATACAGTTGATATCGAGTTTCCTCTTTTGTTTGTTTTATGCCAGCAACTGTGTAATGTAGGTCGAAATTAGTATTACTACTATTGCTTGATATGTTCTGAAAATGTTGTAATACATTTTACGTGGAAGATATGAATCAACGTTTTCCAGCGGCATCCGGTGTCAGGCCTAAATAAAAAAGGTTGTTTTGTTGATCGGCCGTTCTGCTTGTGCAGTGGCAGTCATGATAGACCGATACCTTATATTGGCCACACGAGGTCGCAGGAGACCGTAAATATGAATATGTTGATCCGACGGCTCCTCAATAATTCTACTCCGCCCTGCTTGAGGAAAAAGAAATCGTCATCTGCCGATAGTCCACGCGCAGAATGCACGGCAACCTCGCAACAGTAATGCTGCATTGGATTCAGTTATCTCAATGTGGATAAATAATCGACGGCTGTTTGTACATTTTGCTGCATTGGCGATGAGGATGCATCAACAAAAACACGATTTCTGGATTTACTTTGCTTTGCTTCTTTGTATTTTCGGCTCTTCCGCTTCGCAATTGTCCTACTCCATTACCGAGGAGGCGAACAAAGGCTTCGTGGTAGGCAACATCGCCAAGGATTTCAACCTCAACGTACAGGAGCTGGACACCAGAGGACTGCGTGTGGTTTCCAGCTACAGTAAAGAGTATTTCAACGTGAATTTGCAGAGCGGTAACTTATTTGTAAAGGAAAGAATAGACAGGGAGGAGCTTTGTCCGAATACGGCGAAATGCTCTCTTCGGATACAAGCTGTGTTAAACAGTCCGATGACGGCGCATCGCGTTGAGATCACTATTTTGGACATAAATGACAATTCACCTTCTTTTATAGAAAGTGTGTACACTTTGGACATTTTTGAATCAGCTTCACCAGGAGAGCGGTATCTCCTCCCAGTGGCCGTGGACGCAGACTTTGGCAGTAATTCAGTGAGGAGCTATAAATTGAGCAACAATGAACATTTTACACTGGATGTGCAGAGCGGAGGAGACCACGGCGTATCTGCAGAACTGGTGCTACAAAAGTGTTTAGATCGAGAGAAACAATCTCTCATCACACTCACGCTCACCGCTGTTGACGGAGGTAAACCTCCTAAATCTGGCTCGTTGCAAATACGCGTAAATGTGCTCGATGTCAACGACAACGTGCCCACGTTTAGCAAGTCGCTTTACAAAGTGCGTCTGAGCGAAGATGCCGCGCAGGGCTCACTTGTGATTAAATTGAATGCAACCGATTTGGACGAAGGAATAAACAGTAAGATTGTGTATTCCTTAATTAAACGAGGCAACAACGATCCGTCAAGTGTTTT